CTTCTCCGTGAGCCTTGCTTCCTTATGCTTCTTCATCCTGCTCTGTGTTTCTTGCCTTTCCTCCGTGTAGTCCCTGGTAACAACTGCTCTTGCTCCTGCACTCTGATGTCCAAAGCAGTGTAAGAGTTATTTTAGCTGATTCTCCTCCAGTGCAACTTGGGAAAGAATTCTTGCTCCAGCATAGCTCATGACTATCTGGTCTGGTTGGAGTTCAATCTCGGATCCAATTATTTGTGGTCAGCATTCATAATTACCTGTTATAAACCTGTGGTGATTTTTTTTTTATTAAAACTAACAACTTTTTGTGGCTCACTGCTTAACCAGAGCTGTGTGATAACTGAGACCCAACATTTTATGTACTTCTGTATCACAGGATGTTTTTAACCCAGCCCAGTAGAGGATTCTGAAAATGCAACATTCAGCTTGGCTTGCTTAAAATGCATTGTGAAGCCTTTGATTTAGTTGGTGATGTTCCCGTATCCAGTAATGAACTTTCTCTGTGTTTAATTCTCATAAAAAAGTTTTTAGAGATATTTGATACTAAAATAGGATAGCATAAGTGTAGGACAGAAGTTAATGCCTCTGCCCCAAGGTAAAATGACACCTGCCTTTGGGAAGGGTCTCACGAAGTAGGAGTCATGAAATATTCTAGTGAATGTGTAGAAGGGAATTTAGTTCTGGAGACATATTGAACTAGAACAGATTTTCATAGTAGGAAAGCAGTCTTTTGCTTCCTTTATCCAATCAGAGAAAGAAAGGGTGATTCTTTAAAAACAGATTGCTCGTGGAGAAGGGAATACTAAGGGAGAAAATGTATGCTACATAGCTTCACTGTTCTTAAAAGTGGAGAGGGAAATTTGTGTGGGTAAGGAGTCGCAAGAAGCATGAGAAGTCAAGGGAATTAGAGGTGAATCCTTCTTGATACACTAGATAAATCCCTGAAAAGCTTGAGTTGTAGTACCAAGATCTGACTCTAACCTACTGTGTCTGCATTGTGTTTCTTGGATTTCGAAAAAAAATTGTTACAGAGAAGGGTGCTGGGGTACTGTTCTTAAGCCACTGAGAATGCCACATTCTGCGTCTTAGTGTTCAGTTCAAGTCCAAATTATCCTGGTTCCTGGCCTGCATCCCACTGCTGTGCACCCCAGGAGGCAGCTGATGACTGCTACAAATTGTGTCCCTCCCACTCACATGCGGCACATGGATTAAGTTCTGACCCTCTGACTTTGGCCTGTGCCTACTCTAACAGGCATTTGGAAAGTGAACAAGCAGATAGAGGCCGTCTCTCTTTTTGCCTTTCAAATGAATGCAAAATAAATAATGGTTTGAAAAGAGAATCTATCATAACCCTCTTTATTTACTTATCTGTAAAAACTGTTGGGTAGTTCTTTTCTGTTTTATATTAGTTGGAAGGCAATATAGACCACCCAGTTATTTTTGGTCTTCAAGGGCACATAAAATCCCCTTGGCTTGCTTAGGCAGTATTCTTATACCATGGTCTTGATTTTTCACCTACACTAAGATGTCTCTGTTTCAATCAAATTTAAAGTGAGTTTGTAAAGCACTCATTTTGGCTAATCCAGGCATCAGAAGGAATATTCAACTAGCTTAAGGAATTTAGTTAGTATATAAAATGGAAAGCTTCCCAGTGGAGCATTTTGAGTAAAGGTCATTACTAAAGGTTTGCATTTCCAGTGTTCAAAATGCAATGGCTTTTTAAAAAACCAAAGAACTACTTTTTTGTATTTTCCTTTTCACAGATGAAAAGATTGACACCTTTTGAGATTGGGCGGAAGCTCATGCTAAAAGCATAGCATAAGGAATTAGACCTAGACAATTTTGCGTTACTTATTCCAGTACATTAATTGTGAGTTCCTCATGACTAGAACATACTTTTTCATAAACCTACACATCTAAGCATATTGTAAGCAAGCTCCTCTCTGACCAAGAGCAGTCCAACAAAATGCCAGTATACTTTAAAAGGTATAAATCACAATTTATATACATGTGCTTTGAAGATTCTGGTTATAGAATTAGCTCAGCAATAAGCCCATTGGAAAGCAGTTGTGAAATGTTTTTAGAATGTTAATACTTTTTAAGGGACTTTCTTCTATTTTCTATCCCCTCCAACCTAATATTTCTAACAGTTATCTAAACCCAGAATATGATTTGTGTTTGTTCCTAAAACTCTATGAAATGTGTATGATATCATACTGTGGAGAACAAATTTACAGAACTGAATAGAGTAAACCATGTTAGATTTAAAGTAATACAAAGCTTTCAATATTTGATGACTGAAAAGGGAGTTTTACTATATTTGAGGTTTATTTTTATCAACATTCAGTCCTAGAAAATGAATAGATGTTCTTCTACTCACCAACTTTTCAGATTTTTATAAAAGTGGTCTGTGCTTATTTACCCAACTCTGACATACCTGCCACAGAGAGGACGGAGGAGAGGAATTGCCACTTAGGATTTAAAAATTAAGGGATTTTGGAGTAGTTTCTGGTACTTGACATTAGTTTCATGAAGAATTGTTCCTGGTATACTCAGTAGGCAATATCATATGATGGGGAAAGTGAATGAAAGGATTCAATTTTGTCTACTTTGCAAGCTGTCAGCTATGCAAAGATTTTGATAAGTAATCATTAAAAGTTATACAATTGTGATTGTTTTTAATCTTCCCTTCAATGAAAGCAAGATAATATGAAAGGGCTTATATTATGATTGCCTTTTATAATAACTATGTTAGAGTGTCACAGATGATTCAGAATACCACTTGTCTTGATTTTCTTATTTGGGAACAATACTCACTAAGAACATTGCTGTGTGTAGAGGTGATTTTACACATGAAAGAACGTTGTTGTTTCCAAATGGGCACTGTTACCTTTTCTTTGAGTATCATTTTAGATGTTGCCTCTATTGTCTATTTCTCATCACCATACCAAATAATTCATTTTATTTTTACATTTTCACTGTGATCAGTCCAAGAAATCCGTTCAGTAACTCTTGTCTTGGTCAAGTCACAGTCACTCAAAACTTGCAAGCATTGCTTTCCTGTCTACACCCCTCACCCAAGCACTCTCACGAAACCTCTGGAGGATATTTCTGCTTATTTCCAAAATCCATGTTGTCAGACTGTAAATTATATCAAGATTGCCACTAATCATATTCAAGAAGCCAACAATAATGTATGCTTGAGGAGTTGTGCCTTTTTTAAATATCATGCTATGGATATGATGCCAAATCAGTTCTCTTTTTTTGCTTTTAATTAGTCAGCACCATTTATTCTGTGCCCACTAAGCTGAGAGCAAGGATTGTAGGGTGGGGAAGGGGAGACAGGAGATCTAAAAACATGCTGAATATCATCCTCAGAATAGCCTACAGTATCATTAAGAATACAGAAAACAGTTAAATGAAAGGATTAAGAAAATTTAAGAGCCAAATCCAAATGAGTGCAAATTGGTCTGGTACCAATATGCAAAGAGATGCAAATTGTAAAAATTTTAAGTTTAATGTTTAAAGCTGTTACCTTCCTACTTTTATTTTCATAGTACTTTGCCATGAGAATTGTTAGATCTCAGAACATGGCACACTTCAGAGCGGAAGGTTTTATGGCTCAGTTATATCATTTGTGGGTTTCTAAGAGTTGAACCCATAAAGCTTTATGAGCCCTTGTATTCTTTTCTCATTTTCATAAAATCTTGTTGTGTAAGTTTGAAAAATTCCTTGACGTTTGTCTGTCTCAATTTCCACTTCTTTAAAATGAGAGTTTTAATAGGTTGTTATGAGTATGGTTGTTATGAGTATCAAATGTGTCATGTCCTGTTACTTCTGTTTAGTAGGAAGCATACTCTTTAATTTCTTTCAGCTTGAAATCCATCCTATAACCAATAAGAAACTATTGTAAGGTGTATTGGCTGGCACCAGACATTTTTTTTATGGTGATTTCCATTACCATCAGAGGCATCAGTGCTTAGAACAGAAGGCATCACATAGCAAGTCGTATCTGATACTGTGATCTTCATTAGCTAAATACCATATTTTTAACTTATCAGATATTTGTGTCTAGTCTCATTTACACTCTGAGGAGCATATGACTACCAGTCTTGATGTGCGTGAATAGAGCCTGGAACACTTGCCAGAAATCACACAACTGCCATGTGAAAGATCAAGGTCAGAACTAAGGGTCTGTTGTTTTTCTTCACTCATCATACCTTGATCAACTCTGAGTTCTAGGATGAGGTAAATAATCTTTCTAAGTTCAACATCATCAGTGATACATTTTAGGTAAATTTTATCCTTGTAATGATTTATTGATCATTCACTTTTTTAAATGGACTCGGTTACCTATTTACAAAATGTGGTTATTGAAGTAAAAGAACATTTTAGATCCATGCTCTCTGTGTTATCTCATGTTAGTTGCCATCATTAATTTACTTATTGAAAAGCGTTGCATTAGCTGCTCGTTTTTAAAATGTGATTCAATGGATCTAAGTATGGCATGTTACTCCTTCATTATTAATTTTAGCTAACATAATTAAGCTTGAGCATCATGAAGGTGCCAAGCTCTACAACTGGGATTTAGGCATCCCTGTAAGACCTCTAATAACTTACTTGTTAAACTTTGGTAAAAAGGTATATTTGAGGATATGGCAGTCATTTTGTGTAGCAGTTGAGATATCATCATCCCTTATTGGATTGCCTGTTATTTTGGTTTTTTTTTAAAGATTTATTTTATTTATTGGAAAGTTAGATATACAGAGAGAAGGAGAGACAGAGAGGAAGATCGTCCGTCCAATGATTCACTCCCCAAGTGACCGAAACGGCCAATGCTATGCCGATCCAAAGCCAGGATCTAGGAACTTCTTCCGGGTATCCCACATGAGTGCAGGGTCCCAAAGCCTTGGGCCGTCCTCGACTGCTTTCCCAGGCCACAAGCAGGGAGCTGGATGGAAAGTGGAGCTGCCGGGATTAGAACCAGCGCCCATATGAGATCCTGGCATGTTCAAGGCGAGGACTTTAGCCGCTAGGCCACGATGCCAGGCCCAGGATCGCCTGTTTTTTAAGTCCTGGGTGCACACCGAATTCCAACTTCCTGTTCATGCTCTCTCTGGAAGGCAACAAAGAATAACTCCCAATGGTGGGTGCTTGACCCCCTCAGGATAAGACTGAATTGCAATCCCAGTTCTTGATCTTGTTTAACTCAGCGTTGGTTATCGTAGGCATTTGGTGAATGGACTAGCTGCTTAGGAGTCTGTCTGCCATTCTGTTGTCTCCCCACCTCTCAAATAAATTGAAAAAAAAAAGTAAAGATAGACTGATAGTTCACATTTTTTAAAACTTACCAGGATTTTTTAGGTCCAATTAACTTGCCTTTGAATTAACCACCTTCCCATTTTTAAAAGAAACAATCAATTTAAGTCGTTGTTTGTTGGGTACCTGCCATGTACCAGAGATTTTTTGGGTATTAACGTTAATGAAAATGACAGTAGTGTACAAGATACAGCCCACCACATAATGTCTATCAACAGAAAAATTACAATATGTTGTTATAGACCTAGATTTAGTAAGGAGGTATTCAGGGAACACACTGGGAAGAAAAAGGTTTGATCTAGAAGGTTTCTGAAGGCTGGTCATCTCTGAATAGGTTTCTAGGAAACATGTAGGAATTTTATGTTTTTCTCATAGGAAAGTTAGAGAAGCATATAATGTTCTGGTAAAGGAGAGAAGATGGGTCAAGGATTAGGGTTGAGACTGGCCATGCCTAGATAAGAACATACAACTTGGTGCTGATCAACAGTTGCTGCTGAGGCCAAATGGTGGAGAGTCTGTCCTAGCAGGCTTCAGTAGGCATGATTTTACTTTACTGTGAGGTCACAAAGAAGGATGAGGTAAGTGATGATACTTGAATTAAATCACAAAGGATACCTGTGACTTTCATTTTTAAGGCAGGCCACAGTTTAGCTGGATAGGAGGAGATGAATTATAACAAAGATGTGCGTAGGCAAAAGCTGTGTTTATTTGGGAAAGAAATTTGAAATACCTGCAGAATGTAAGTAGAATAGAAAAATATGTGGTTAAATTGTATCTTGAAAAGGCTTGAAAGGGAAGTATATGAATAGATTTAATATGACAACTGTATATTCTGAACCTTGTCCAGTAGGCACCTGGGGGTATTAGGGGCACCAGTTTGAGAAGAAATTGAAACATTAAAGGTTTTTGAGGTAATTAAAAGTGTGTTCCAGATTGACAACTCTGGGTATTTTTAAATCGGAGAGAATTTGTGTTATAGACAGAAGCTAGGCACAGTGTTATAGACAATTCTTTTTTATGCTTATTTAGCCAAAATTTTAAATAGAATTCTGCTCATTGGTTTGATCTTTTTGAGAAATAACCAATTATTTCTATTAGTAGAAAATTCAGAAAAAGATGAATAATGTAAGCAACATGTGTTGGGAATGTAATATATCACTTGAGTGTACTAATTTACTTAATTATCTTGGCAAGACAGTCTGTAATATCCCCTGCCCCCCCCCCCACCCCGTTACAGGTTAGGAAATTTTGGCCAGGAGAGGGGTAATTCACTGCTGCATTCAGCGGGTAGTCTGCTTTTTTAGCCAAAGGCAGGCTAGCTCTTAAGTCAAAATACATGAAATGATGGCTCAGGATACCATTGAAAATACAGTCACCATGCTAGTGAAGAGGCAGCTTGGGCAAGTGTTCTCTGTGTCTGTTGCTTTTTTACACTTCAGTGATGCCAGATTTATAGAGTTGCTACCTCAGTCTAATTACAGGACATACAGGAATCTCATGCTCATTTGTTCTCCATGATAACCCTTGTCCTCTATAACCTTGAATCTACTTTAGTGGTAATCAGTTTTTAAACGAATGATGACTTCAATATAATGGTAGTTTGTTTCTGAGTTGTAGCAATCTGGTAGTCTAATTCAAGGGTATAATGCGGTAAGTTTGAACTTCTTACTTTCTAATTAGCACACTATACTCATAATTAGACACAAAGAAAGGTCAAAAAGCCAGGCTGGTGTCAATCATTGGTCATAAACATATCAGACTACTCAAGGCCCTACCCAGGTGCCTGTCATTAAGGAGAATCTCTCATATATTGTTGTTGGGTAATCTTGGTGAATGACACTCTTCTCACAATCCCAAGATGTTCATTGATGGACTTATGTTAAACTTATTTCTGCCATAAGCTATTGAGTTATTTTTAAAAATTAAGTTTGCTTAAAGCATTTGGAATGGTTAATATTTTGAAAACAAAATCCACATCAATTAAAAATATAATAAAACTCCCCATCCAGAATAGAGTAATAATTGCCAAGCATAAAATAACTGAGCTGTGGAGTGGCTTAAAGGACAGTTGGTCTTAGAAAGTACTGGATAGGACACTGCCATACAAGTAGTTGTAATGCTTAAATTACTGTACCTACTTGGTTGAATATGTAACTGAAATGGCTAAAAATAAAAATTGCAGATGTATCAGATTCAATCAATCTTAGTATTTTTCCCCTTACTCGCTCAGGCTCAAGTTAAAAATAAAATGTGCCTGCCTCATTTGCCTGTGTGCTAGTTAGTAGGATTAACTGGAGTTCTCAACAGGAAAGCAATAGATATAGTAGATGACATTGTGTGGTGGGTGAAAGCCCGGTAGAGATAATTATACAGTCACTCCCACTGTATTACCCTTCAAAGAAACTGAGCCTAATATTCTCTTCTTAGGCAATTTAACCAACTTCTAAAAAAAAGTACAAGATATTATTTAGAGAATGAAATAGCTACTGTATATAATCAGGAGGGAGAATTATAGCAAATTATCATACTCATTTGATAAGTGTATAAAGAGCTATGCTCAAAGCTTTGATTGTACCTCCTAAGTAATTGTACAATTGTACTGTCCTTTAAGAAGGGGAAGAGATAAAGAACTGCTTAAAAAAAGAGAGAGAAAAATCAATTTTATACTTGTTCAGTAAGATTTTCCTTCAGGGCACAGATTAAGTCTAATTTCATGCTCTGTGAGGATCAAGTGCACATTTGGCCTCCAGATATTTAGTAGGGGTGATTGCCTTTTCAACAATAATGTCTGTGTATAAGCACAGATACCAGAATGAGGCTAAGCACACATACACACACATACACGTGTAGTTTAAAATCCCCTACCTGTGCATGCTGGTAGGTGATAGGCAAAAACGTTATGTGTATCTCCATTGTTTGCATACCTGAACATTTTCAAAAGATAGTTTTATGTAAACTGCCCCCACTGCTTTTTTCCAAAGCTTCTCAAAAAAAAAAAAAAAGAGCTCTCCAAATCTAATTGTCCATGTTATTATTTCTATTATTTATTTTTCCCTTGGAAGTCGGAGAAAGAGGGAGACACACACACACACGCACGCACTTTGAAAGCTAGAGGGAGAGGTCTTGCATCTGCTTAGTTACTCCTCAAATGGCGGCCATGACTAGGCAGAGATGAAGCAGTCCAAAGCCGAAAGCCAGGACCTTCTTCCAGCTCTCCCACGTGGGTACAGGGGTCAAGGGTTTGGGCCATCCTCCCCTGCTTTCCCAGGGAGTAAGCAAAGAGCTGACTTTGGCAGTAGAACAAAGTAGGGATGCAAACCAGTACTCTCATGGCATGGCAATGCCAGCAGGTAGAGGATTTATCTCTTATGATGCTATGCTAGCCCTGTCCACATTTTTTTAATAATGTATTTAATTATGTTTACTTGCAGCAAAGACAGAGGAAGATCTCCCATGTATCAATTCATTGTCCTTATGCTTTCAGCACCCAGGGCTAGAACAGGCCAAACACAGGGGCTTAGAACTTAATCCAAGCAATCATATGGTCCTGAGCCATCCAAAATGGAGTCAGTACTAAACACCTGGCATTCCACTATGGAATATCGGTGTTGCAAGTGGCATTTTAAACCCACTGTACCAAATACCTGTCCTTGCCCACATATTTTAGAAAAGACCCATAAGTAACCATATGGTTAATTTCTTTTTGTTCACCGTAGGCAAAATGAGACCTAAAAGATTTAAATGCTTAAGCATTTTTCCTGAGTGTTTATAATATTTATGTCCCTACCATCTAAGTAAATAAATGACCTAATCACTGTTAGAAAAAGCCTGAATACATAGTTGCTAAGAACAGTTATTCTAAAGATGTCACACTGCCTTTGATGGCATATCGCATTCATCAAAATCGTGATAACACCTCCTTCTATAATATACACAGAGTATCAAGGCTCTTGTGTCTCACATACTCATATCTCATCATTTCTTAGATTTAAATTTATTCATATAATTAACATATATGACTGATTACTGAGAGTCAGATAGTTTTCATTGTCTTTAAATGTGAACTTATATTGGCCCATTGAATTAAAGACAATCCTGGAGATGATAGTGGACTCTTCCTGTATTATTGTTCTTAGTGTCTCAAAAGACAGTCTTGTGGGAATAAGTAATTGAAAGGCGATTCAGAGTGTTGAACTCTAAGTGTAAAATAAGCAAAAAATTAGAAATGCTTTCATTTGCTTCACTTATATTTTTCTTTTTATATCTTCAGATAGGTGACATGGCTTTAAGAGGAAGTGAGTTAATAAGTTTAACCATTTAAAACTTGTGTTTATTTGCAAGACAGATTTACAGAGACAGACAGAAAGAGAAGTAGAAAAGGAGGGAGAGAGTAAGAGAAAGAGATGTTTCATCACCCAATGCACTCATTAAACGGCTATAATAATCGGAGCTGGGCATATCTGAAAGTAGGAGCCATGAGCATCTACTGGGTCTCCCACATGGGCACAGGGTTCAACCAGTTAGGCTATTTTCCACTGCTTTCCTAGATACAACATCAAGGAGCTGGATCAGAAATAGTATAGTGGAGACTTGAACTGGGAGTACCCTCTGAGCCAAGCCATTTCTTGTATCAAGTATATGATTAAAAATATATATAAACAGTGCTGTATCAAAATTTAAATGGCACTGGTTTTATTTCTGTGAGTGTAACAGTATTCACTTTTGATTTGAGATGTAGTAAAGACTTAGAGTTCTCTCTGGTAGGTTTGTCATTGGAATTAAGGGTCCCAAAATCTGTGAATCTGAATGGAGTGTGTTGAAATAATATTTGCAGTTTACCAAAACTCTAGAGAAATTGACTTAGTTCATTCAGCAAATATCGCACTAAATTGGGCTGAGATTTTATCTGTCCATTAAAATCAAATGTCCTTTTCTCTTGATTAGGGCAGTTACATTTAGTGATAGAAGTAGACACCCTTTGTAATAAAGGAAATATCAAGATTGTGAAGGGATGTCACAATGATAACGCACAGCAGACCTCATAAAGCCAGGCTCTTGTTCACACTCACTGTTCACCAAGAATGAGATGATGATTTCACTCCCTGAGGAAAAAAAAAAAAAGGAGCTTGATGGGCCTAGAGCTGGTAGACAGATGCTCTAGCCTGCATAAAACACAGACAGTCATCCACAGGGCTCCACCTTGGCTTAAGGGTGCCGGAAAGCAGAAAGCTGCATGTATTTGTAGAGAAGCATCCATGACTATCTTTAACAGTAATAGCAACAGCATTGTCATATGTGCATGTCCATGGGTAAATCCTTTATCTTTCTGAAGTGGATATGGCCATTATCCAGTATATAGAGGAGAACAAAGAGGTACATGCACTTGTACAGAAGAGGTACAGCAGGAATTTGTGTGCCTGAACCCATAATGGATTTAAATGCATGTTTTAGATTGTAAAACGAAGATAACAAACAGTTGAGAATGCTTCTGGGAAGAAAAAAGTGGATTAGGTGATCCCCAAGGATCCCTAAAATTTTGTCTGGCTGTGCCTAAAATGATCTATAAAAACAGTGACAGATTTCTTTTGCCACCTCATCCGAGGCCAGGGGCCCTCTCCTGAGCAGCACACTATCTTTCCTGGTAGCTTAGCATAGTAGAGGACTATTGTCCCAGTTAGCTGGGGCTGCCAGTGTTTCCACAGTATGCTTCAATTTGTGGCTTATTTAAACTGTCCATTTTGGAAAATCTGTAACCTATGTAAATGTAGAAGAGAGCAATGGCCACATTGCAAGTCAGTTATCAGTGACTGCCACACATGATCAAAACATGCCCAGTCTTGCTTGGTTGCACTTTGCATGTTAATCGGGCTGGTTGTCAAGCAGAGCTTTGAACTCAGACAACAGACATTAA